GGTTAAGGGTTAGGTTTAGGGTTAGGTTTAGGGTTAGGTTAAGGGTTAGGTTTAGGGTTAGGTTTAGGGTTAGGTTTAGGATTAGGTTTAGGGGTTAATTTTAGCTTTAGTGTTTACAGCATGCTTTTTTCGTCGCGCTGTGATGACGTCAGCTACGCGGTTTCGTCGAACGCGCTTTAGTCGAACGCGGTTTTGTGGTGGAACCAAAAAAAAGAAAAGAAAATGAAATACATCTTCTGAAATAAAGCAAAGTAATGGCCATTTAGATATTTATAAGGAAGTTGTGCTAAGGTGGTGGCAGACTTAATTCTTTAAGCATCATCATGATCATGCTTTCATGAAGTTTCGATGATTCTTGTACTGTGGATGGTACTTGGTAAAAAGAAGGGCACGTAAACTCTACTTTCAGTAGATCATATTCCTTTTTTTAAAAAATCCTGATATTCGACTTTCATATGTCAGTAAGAGATTTTATACTTACGCTGTCAACGCTAAAGAAAGATACTAAGTTATTGGGTACGAAGATGTCCTTCATTATGTTTTCTGCTCCCAGGTGAGAGTCTAGAAGAGACAGTCCAACGAGAGGTTGCTGAAGAAGTAGGCCTAGAAGTGAAATCTCTCTGGTACTCTGCATCTCAGCACTGGCCGTTCCCAAACAGCATTCTCATGATAGCTTGTCATGCATTAGTGCATCCGTTACAGAGCAAAGTAAGAACCCTGGTAGAATCCTACTTTGATTTTATCTGATGCTAGTTTATAAATGAGAACCTAACCTAACCTATCTTGAACTCAGATCTCCCTAACCCGGTTCCTTTTAGATAAAATATATATTGGGCTTACTATTCCGATAACTTTCTGGAACTTCTGGACGTTATAATTCTATGCATTTTGAGGCCACTGAGTTCCATAAAAACTGACAAATAATCCTTATTCACTTTAGTTCTTTGGTGTTTTATGAAACTAATGAAAAACAATTCTGGATCATGTCTTTCCCCAACCCAATTTTTTAATCCATGCTGCTTGCTGAGCATATGATTGTAATAGTCATAGATATCTGTTAGATTATATCATGAGCTTTTTCCTTGAAGAGAACACTTAATGTACCATGTTTTTTGGAGTATAAGATGTACTTTTTTCTCCCTGCAAAAGAGGGTGAAAATTTGGGGTGCTTCTTATTCACCGAATGTAGCCCCGCCCACCTGCCGACCCCCACTCTGCCTCCCACAGTTTGCCTCCTTGCAGCAAATGGCAAACAGCCTTTTTTCAGCTTCAGCACAGCCTGATTAGCACAATCAGTGATCGGTTTCCCGACCATCAGCTGTTTCAGGTTGCAGGGATTGCCATTGCCTATTGCTGCCTCTGTACGCTCCTTTTGGCTTCCACATCCCATTTTTGGCCTCTGTGCACCCCGTTTTCGGCCCCTGCGCACCCCATTTTCGGCCCCTGCGCACCCCATTTTCGGCCCATTCTGATCCCCGCCACTTGGAATGGGCAGAAAATGGGATGCGTGGGGAGGCCGCAAAACGGGGCGTGCGGAGACGGCAATTGGCTATGGCAATCTCTGCAGCCTGAAACAGCTGATGGTCGGGAGGCTGATCAAAACAGCAATCAGCTGCTTGTGCTAATCAGGCTGTGCTGAAACTGAAACAGGCTGTTTGCTGCAAGGAGGCAAATTGCTGGGAGGGAGAGGCAGATCTCCCCCCCCCCCTATTGTTTTCCTCCCCAAAAGCTTGGTGTGTCTTATACTTCAGAGCGTCTTATACTCCAAAAAATACGGTACGTATCTTACATTGCAGCCTCTGTAATATTTCTCTACACCTTCAATAGAAGACAACCATTTTTTTCCAATTTTGCTTTTAATTTCATTTGCAGTGTACCATCAATACTCAGGAGCTTGAATCTGCCAGGTGGTTCAGCCATGAGGAAGTGGTGAAGGCACTTGAACGGGAACCCAGACCTTCTAAAGAAACTGATGACAGCACCTCTTTTTGGGTGCCGCCCAAACAAGCTATAGCTCGACGGTTGATCCAGGAATGGGTGAAGCAGAAAACTTCTCCTTAGTTTTAAAAAAAAAATACGCAGGGGAATGATGGCATTGTTATATCTGATGTCTTGTTTGCAGTGGCCTTCCATATTTTGTGGAGAAGGTACTGGTAAACCACATTAAGTCTTTCGGCATGTTGTCTTGAAAATTAATTGCTATAGAACTCACTGAACGGATTTGGAATGAGAGGTTGATATCTCCGTAGGGTAATAATATCTAGCAAAACCAAACTAAACCTCTATTCCTTTTGGGATTTCTTAGTAAAGCCATTTGTGGGCAAACCTGGCCCTTGAATTGCTTGTTTTTTCCTGGAAGCATCCTGACCAATTGGGGTTTGGGGTGAAGTTAAAATTCTTGATCACCAGAAGACAGATATCTATGACCAATTTTCTCCTTATTTCATCAGGTCCACATAGCCATTATAGTTAGTATTACCCTTGACTCTCTATCCCCGTGATGGCAAACCCATGGCACATGTGCCAGAGGTGGCACGCAGTGCTCTAGCTCAGCCAGCTGGTCGTCGGGTTTCCGAGATGCGCATGCGTGCCAGCCAAGCTGGTTGTCAGGTTTCTGAGGCACGCATGAGTGCTGGCCAGCTGGCCATGGGTTTCTGGCACTCTGGCGTGTGCACCTTCCGGTTTGGGTACTCTGTGCCTAAAAGGTTCGCCATCACTATTCTATCCGTTTGACTCCTCTTCCATCTTTTTAAACAGATGCCTCCTGTCCCTAGAAATAATGCAGTGGTTTGCTAAACATACACGTTCCCCAACCGAAGTTCGGTTCTGTCATTCTTCCTGTGAGAATTCGTGTGAACTTATAGGATTCTGATGGGGGTGGAGGAAAGTTCATCATTTATATTTGAAAAGTTCCTAATTATACACACACAAGCAAAAAAGGGGGAAAGCAAGTTGCGATTGAGGTCGGTATTATATTTTCCCAGCATACTTCACTGGGGGCGTGGCACGACAAAACCGTGCTCGACTAAAGCGCGCCCGATTAAACCGCGTCACTGACATCATCAACAGGGCGACAACAGCGAGCGCGGAGAAAGAAGGGTGCTTTAAATAGCGCTTTGAAAACAAGCTGATTCAACTTAAGGTAAGGGTTAGGTTTAGGGTTAGCTTTAGGGTTAGGTTAAGGGTTAGGTTAAGAGTTAGGGTTAGGGTTAGGTTTAGGGTTAGGTT